ACACACACACACACACACACACACACACACACACACACACACACACAATGAGCTCAACAGATAATAACATGGCAGAGCCATAAGGGGATACAGAGGGGCTCAGGATCCAGTAAAGTAATAACATGGAGAAAGCTTCCTTTCAAGAGTGCGTGTGTGAGTCTGCAGACAAGTGTGTTATGAAAGAATGTGTGTGTGTGTGTGTGTAAAAGAATTAAAATCCAATATGCAGCAAAATATTTGCATACGACCTCAAATAAGATTGCATCAAAAATTAATTGGAAATCTAAGGGAGTTTTGAATTGACAAATAAAAACACTGTTCAGGCCAAAACAATCACTCCTAACATGGTATTGCTCACCTTGTAAACATTGATGGGAATGCCGATGATGATGTGCAGCAGGTCTCCGAGTGCCAGGCTGCCGATCAGGATGTTCGGCCCGTTACGCATGCACTTATTCTTATAGATGATTCTCAGCAGAGTGGAATTCCCTATGATGCCCACAACAAACACCAGGCAGGACACCACCGTGTTGATGTACTTGAAGGTGTCTCGGATTTCCGTGGGCCCTGTGCACATGGGAGGTAGCCGGCGGCGGGGAATGGTGATGTTGGGCCTCACCAGGCCCTGCACATCTCTCTCTATGAGCCCAAGTCTCTGTGTAACAGACAGAACGTCCTGGGGCGCTTGCTGCTTTGACTCCAGCTGCCCACTGGCCAGAAGGACGTGATCCGCCAAGAGGAGCAACTCCAAGCAGAGGAGATGAGTCTTCATCCTGCAGTTTAGTTTGTAAATGTGTTTTTTATCCAACAAGGCCGCAACTGATCCTTTTTGGGTGTGCCTGGAACGCAATTATATTAAAAATATAACGGTCTAGGAGGCACATTCGGGCTCCAGGGTTTATTAAGTGACTTAAGCTCACTGAGCTGCCGTCCCTAGCTGGATAAACTTACTAAAACTCACAATTAACACGCAGACACACCCTGCAGAAACATGTTGGTCATTTTTAGTTTACGGACTGTACAACAATTATTTGGGGAAGAGAGACGGGGTCAGAAAAGGGGGAAGATATTTTTCTAAAGATAGAGTAGTCTGACTTTTTTTGTGAGAGCAGGCACTTTTTCATAAGCAGGAGACAACACTTCTGTCAGGTACATGATTAAAGAAGTTATCACATTTGAACATGTTTTTTTGACATAATGAGGGGAGGGTATTACAGTTTAAAGGAGTCCAAAGTAAACATCAATAACCCTGGAGAAGGCCTTGGTATTTGATTAAAAGTGAAGACCCCAATCATTTTCCTACAGTCCCTAAATCAATCAATTAATGTTCTCCGGTCACAGTAGTTTAAGCTCTTACTTACCTAACTCGCAGCTGAACCAGAAATCCAATATATGTGCCTCTTCAGATCAAACTTTCTTTCCCGGTAACTTTCAAGCTCTCAGGACAGAGAAAAGTTCCCAGATCGGAGGGATGCTGTTCCTGAAGTGACGCTCCAGTCATCCTCCTCTGTCACTGGTGTCAAAGTGAAAAAGCTCCAGCTCTGTGCTGCAGAAGCTCCAGTCAGCTCCTCTGGTATGCTCACTCCTCTCCAGTACTGGCCGCTGAGTCTCAGTGAACACAGTGTCAAGAGTCTGCAGAGTTTCTCCCCTGCCCTCCAACCCCTCCTCTTCTTATGGAGAGGAGGGGTTGGAGGGAGACCGAGGAAGACAGACAGGATGTTTACAAGTTAATCAGTGTTCATTACAGCGCCCTCGTTTTAATGGAGGCAATGGGGTAAAATCATAAATCAGTTCATGAAGATATTTATGTATATATATTGTGTTGTTGGTCCTGAATGGTGAGTTTATATAGTACCTTACTTCATTTTTATTTTGGCATCCTACAGGGATTGATCATCGCTATTTCATTTGTCATAATAAAGTGATTCAGTTTAGCTACCATTGTTCTCTTTTATAAGACAAACAGTGAAACAAGACCAGCGTTTGATATTGAGCCATTTCATTCAATCCACATCAATCAATTATCACTTGGGCCTTATCAGGCTGTCAATGTGCAGTCACATTGTAATTCACTGCACCGTGTTCGCCGAGCTGCTCCTCATTGTAAAGAAAGACACATTAGTGCTACAACAATAGAACTTATCAGTCAAATCTCAGGTATTGCTGTTACGGTCAATGTTATCAGCATTTATTTAACCTGTTTGCAATGGGAGCCTAACAACACAACTTAACAATTTAGTTGTCAAAGTATTTGGAAGTCAGTTTTGAATATATGACCAGAAAAAAAACCATTTAACAATTAAAGAGGCTGAGCAAGATATACATTTGCGTCGACATTTTAAAAGCAAAACATTTATTTTTCCACTACTTTATCACATTAGGTAGATGCACCTTGACTCCTTTAACAAGAGTCTAAATCTGCGCTACAGCAGAGCTGAAGCTAAAGATGAAGTACAGCTCAGGGTGATGAGATGTCTTCAGTTTTGCAGGTATGTTGGTCGAACTCCAAAATGTTGCACAAGGTGACATATTGACATGACGATGGCGCTATATAATTAATTCTGAGGGGGACAAGAATATTTATACAGAATGTCATGACAATACATCCCGTAGCTGAAGCATTTCACTAAAACAACAAAACTTTCAACTCCGTCCTGTCGCTACAGTCAAAGTCAGGGGATCGGCAAAGTCGGTAGGATTCATCCTCTGTTGTCTGTGCAAACATTCATTGCAATCAACCACTATTGCTCGACTGACATTGCTATCTCCAGAGCTACTAGCATGGCTGAAACCATACAAAGATATCTACTTATATGAGCCAGTATTATAAATTTATCTTGAGTTTTTCTGAGGCGAGAAAACTTCATGTTAGAGTTGCTTGACGTCACATTTTTAGACATCAACAATTAAATAACTTTGGCACTTTGGTTTATTTTCCAAATGGGACAATGGTCAAGGATGGACACCTATCTTCTATTTCAGAGCAGTAGGGCGAGACCGGGAAAGGTTCTAATACTTTTTTTGTCTCGGCACCTACAGTATTTCTCCCTGAAGTTTCCGCTCTCAAATTCTTTGACCCTCACGTGTCTACTGCCAATAGCAATGTTTCCAACACCTCCAACTAAACCACAGAATGAATTAATCGATGTCAAACACAAGGAGTCCCATTGTTACAACCTGCCCCACTGCCGAGGTAACATTAACATCGAACAATTAAAAATGTGAGGGGACCACACCCCAATTTTGCGTGAGGGAACAATAAGATATCACGACTTACTTTTAAATCATTAACAATGACTGTAATCCAGAATAATGAGTTGCTGTTGATACTTTTAAAACTTTAAAAGAACATTCTTCAGAGCATTGTGCACTATACGTGTAGGCCTTTATCTCTATATCTATATCTATATGCATATGTGTGATATGCAGTATGGTGGTTTAAAATGAGCATATAGTAACTCTTATTGTTATTATGAATCTCCTCTGGTGTCACACCACGTGCTTAGTTTTCTCTTTGTGACTTTACTAACAAGGATGAACATGTTGGAAGTGATTTTTCTGTCACAGTTTCTCTTCATCCACTCTGCATCGTAAAGCAATTTTTCCGGTCACATAAAGATCCAATGAGGCACGCGTGTGAAATGTGTGAAATGTGTGAAATGCGCCAACAGCCTTTCTGTCTCTTGTCTGCTTCATGATGTGAAGACTGCTATAGTAAAATTAATGTAATCATTTTTAATGACCGTACATTAATGACCAGGAGGTATGTCTGGTGTGCTATCACACCTGTATTGTACACCTCAGTTGATCATCAATGTGAGGCTCAGATTTTCTGAGAAGAGAGTTGCTCACAGGCCAGACCGCCATCAACACCATGTGTTTGTCTGTTGATAGATTACGATCTCAGCGGAGCCTTAAGAATTTGTATTAGCCGGATTGTGTGTTTTACTGTTTGACTGCTTCGTGTTAAGGCAGAGAGTTCAAAGGAAAAACATTCTTATCTTTGTTGAACTGTACAGCATCAGCCTGATTGTATCATGCAGCCGCTTGCATGTGATGTGGATCAGTGGCCAAATGTTACTAAGCACATTTACTAAGGTAATATATAATAATATGAAACAATTTATGGTACTTTATACTTGTGCCCCATTATATTGAGAAATATTATGTGTTTTACTCCACTACATTTATTTGACAGCTGCATTTACTAATTTACAAATGAAGATTTTGCATACACAACATAATCCTCTTATAAAATATTACGCATTTATAAAGTATAGTAATAGATTAAATCACACAACAGTATATGAACTAGTTAGAATGATCACTACAGTATCAAAACAGTACAGTACACGTTAATCACTGTGGGACCTTTGTTTAGATAAGGGATTAGGTTGGATGCCAGAATATTAAGATGTTCCAGAGAGCTGTGTGAAATCCTTTAACTGGAAACATTTGAGGTTATGCCGCCTCTTCCTTACCTTAAAGGGATATTTCGGGTGTTTTTGAAGTGGGGTTGTATGAGGTACTTATCTATAGTCAGTGTATTAACTACAATGTTTGGAGAGGCAGGGGGATGTACCAACACGGGAGCAAAGCAATGTACTGCTGTGGACGGGGGCAGCAGCAAAACATATTAGTCACATTCAAAAAATCAACATCAGTTTGAGTTTTACGCTATATTTAGAATAGTTTTCGACGGGAAACTGAACTGAAATTAAAATCTATCAACCGGTATTTAGTTTTTTCAGTCTAGTGGCTTCATATAAGTCATAGTTGTAGTCACCGACATTAGTTTGTGGACTGCCGTAAGTATGGCATTTTGTCCGTCGCCATCTTGGCCTTTTGCAACCAGAAGTAAGTATTTTATTTATTATATTTTGCAAGTAACTTGTAACTGCTCAGGAATATTTTAAGAGCTAAATTAGTCAATGTGACTCCACTAGTTTGCTACTTTCAGAGAAACTCTGACATCAATAGGTTAGCTGTCGCTAGAACTCATGTTTTACTATCTCCCATATCGGTAACAGACTTTTACAGCTCTTGTCTAAGACTGACAGATTTACAATTCAGAGCAAAGAGGGTCTCACTCTGTCTTCTCGTTGTCTATGTCTCTTTTGTTTGCTTTTTTTTATGAGAGCAATTCGCCTCCCCCCACCGATCTCTATAAGCTGGTTTCTTTAAAAGTGGGATATCATCTTGAAATTGACCAGATCCAACGAGGACAAAGGGCTGACTTGTTTTGAACAAGCAGGGATTCATTGGAGTAAGTGTCAAGCATCTTACCTAACACACAATACACCCTCTGATCCCACTCAGTTAGAGGCAGGACATCCTCACTTTTCAACTGAATTATGGACGCCGGTGTGTCTTTATGAACACATCTTGTGTGATCTCGCCCCCAAGAGTCAAACTGGACTGACTTTTGCCCTGCGGCCTTATTATCCGGGTGGTGGGCTAGTAGAGAGTAATTATTTCATTAGATCTATAAAAGATCTATAATTGGGGCTACATTTCACATAAATAAAAACGTAATGTGCTTTAAGTAAGAATATTCCATCAGTGTAATATATCCACTATTGCAAAGCTTAATGTTAACATTTTCATTGTTATTTTAAAGGAAAGTATATTTTATTTTAGTACTTTTGAGTAACTTAACATGGTCGACAATTTCCCTATTTTAGCCCATCAATTCAGCCTATCATGTCTAACAACATTTAATTTTATTTATCAGGTTATCCTTAAATTTAAACATGTTTTTGAATTAGAATCATAAAAGAATTGCAAACCATAACACCTTACTCAACATAGTTGATGGTGAGATATCTTTGACAATGCGTTATTACAGATGAAATGTTTAAAATAAATGAGAGGGCACTCATCAGAATCTACTAAAAATTGCCGCCACTGAGAAAAATGACACCCTCCTGTTATGCTGATCACACATTTTCAAGATAAAGTAATTTTTATTAGCGAGGGGATTTTCTGTTAGTTACATAGTTGACAGAACTTATATTTTATATTCATGTGATTTAAATGTGAAACTCAATTTTTAAAATTGTATTTGTAAGTATTTAGAATGTTTTAAATAAATAGATAACGCTATAACTTTGATGGTTTTTAATCATTATTTGATTTCAAGACCCACTCAATTGAAAAATGGACATTGCAAAAACTGTCAATTTAGGAACATCATGACAATTTCAAGCCAAATGAATCTCCTGGTTCATTCTTAACAAAGCTTTGTTCTTTCTGCTTGGTCCTCAAGTTCCTTTGTCCTTTCACTTCCACTGGATCCTACCGACAAATTAAATTTACACATTATAGTTACACTAAGAAGCTTCTGTTTTGAACAAATACATATTCAGTTTTCGAAAGAAATGAACCCCGGATTCATTCTGATCGAGGACTTTCTGGAAAAGCGAGAATTCTCAACTTTATATAAACATCAGTTCATCTGCTGTTGACCTCCGCTATCAAATCCAAAAGGCTATAAAGTCACTGGTAAAAGAAAAGAAAAAATACATGGAAGTCTTAAGAGATTGTTTCCTAAAATAATGAAAAAAAAACAATTTCATAAGTAAATGTCTTCAAGGTGTTTACCATCTGCGTCAAGGGCAGAGCG